GAATAAAGCAAGCAAACAGTGCATGGTTCAAAATCAGGAAAGCTGTACATCAGGGATGCATCCCATCTCCATGCCTTTTCAATCTATATGAAGAACAGATCATTCAGAAGGCTGTATTTAATGTGATATTAAGATTAGAGCTAGACACATCAACCTGTATTATGTAAATGACAGAACCTTGCTTGCTGAAATTGAGGAACACCTGAAGTATTTCCTGCAGAGGGTCAAGGACTGCAGTCTTCAAAAGGACTGAAGCTGAATATCAAGAAGACAAAGGTTCTTACCACTGGGTCAGCTGACAGCATCATGACAGATGGAGAGGAGACTGATATTGTTAACAATTTCAGCTTGCTTGGTTACACAATCAACACTCTTGGCACCAGCAGTCAGGAAATCACAAGATTAATTGCATTGGGAACGTTTGCTGTTAGGGACCTCTCCAGAGTGAAGAGAAATGATGTTAGTCTAGAGACTAATGTGCCCCTAATCCAGGTGATGATCTTTGCAATTACTTGCTATGCATCAGAGAGTTGGACAATGACTAAGAATGATAGAGGAAGAATTGAAGCCTTTGATCTGTAGTGCTGGAGAAGAGTATTGAACATAGTCTGGACTGTCAAGAGAACAAACAGGTTGGATTTTGAAGCTCTGTCTCACATACTTTGGGCATGTTACGAGGAGGGGCCAAACCTTGAAGAAGGACATTATGCTTGGAAGGGTAGAGAGTTAGTGCAGGAGAGAAAAACCCTAGAAGAGATGGATTGACACAGTGACTAGGGTAATGAGGTTAGGTATGTTGGAGACAGTGAGATTGGCTCAGGATAGGGCAGGTCTCAGAGGTGTTGTGCATAGGGCTGCTATGAGTTGTAAGTGATTCAATGGCACATAACAACAACACTGTCTTGTTAGGGAGCTCTGGTGGCCTCGTGATAAGAAGCTGTGCTGTAATCCCAAAGGCACATGGTTCAAATCCACCAGGGGCTCTGCTAGAAAAGGACAAACAATCTCCTCTCATGTGATTTATTGCCTCTGAAAACCTGCTGGAGCATCAGCTATGGGTCAGTTCTCACTCAATAACACACAACAACAACATTTTTTTTATTTAGGAAGCTCTGGTGGTTTAGTAATAAGGAGTTGCATTGTCAATCTAAAGGCACATAGCTCAAGTTCACCAGTTGCTCTGGAGGAGAAAGACGGCATTCTCCTCGTGTGAATGACAGCCTCGGAAAACTCTGTGGAAGGTCAGCTGTGTATGAGTTGGTTCCAACCCCATGGTACATAACAACAACTGTGTATTATTTTTGCTTCCTTCTCCTTCCCTCTCCATCCCTAGAAACTATTAAATAGGAGACTTCATAGGCAACTGTTGGGGCATACAGCCAGAATCGACCGGAAGAACAGGCTCCATGCCCAGGGAACTCCAGGAAGCTGGGCGATGGGAACTAGTTATTCCTTCAGCAAATAGTTATTGAGTGCTTTCTTTATGCCAAGAACTTCACAGCACTGAGAATGTAACAGTAAAGGCTAAGACTATCTTACTGTCATGTAGCTCATAGTCAATGATGGAACCAGATAATAAATTAATTATTTAATGAAAAACATGTCAGATGGTAAAAAATGAAACAAAGAGGTCAAGGAAGGTCTCTAAGAGAAGGAGGCTGTAATTTTTAATGGTGTGTTGGGAGAAATCTGGTCTATTCACTATGGCGGCAGCAATGAATGAGAAATCAACTGTCCCGTGCTGGTGTTCACTCCCTCAAGGGTCAGAGTCCTGAGGGCATCTGATGAGCGAAGTCACAGACACGTACCCATCACACTAGCTTCTCTGAGGTGGGGAGAGGGAAAATAGGCCCGTACACTTTCAGATCTGAGTGTATATGTTCCAAGAACATACCAAAAAATGAGACCTTCTTCCCAAAAGGAAGGGGAATTTGGAATCAAGTCATCTAAAACAGCCTCTGAAGTAGATGCAATCATGGAGGCAAAGCCATAGAAGAGAAGAATGAAAGGAAGTTAGAGAAGCAACAGCCTTGAAGAAATCATGACTCTTTTTAAGAGACAGGCAGATTAACTGGAACCAGTAAGGAAGAGTAGAAAGGGGAAAAATCTGGTGAGAGTCACGCTGAGAACCCAAGCATATAGATATGAAAAGAACTCTGGATGTAGAAGCCATATTGTTATTATAAAAGAAATAGAAATTATTGGTGAGAAGATTAGGGACAGAGTAACCTTTAAGCTAAAGTGTCCCACATCATAACTTTTATTGTAGTGATGGGACTTAAAAGATAAATTATCCTGTGACAAAGGGATGGTTGTGTAACACCTTGTCTTCAACTAAATATGAACATCACAATAACTCTGAGTGAAAGTTTTTATTCCCATCTAGTGCTGGGGAAAATTATATCTAATATTCAGTATTCAGTATTGGAGAGGATTAAAAATTTTCCCAAGTGCATCTTCTTAAAATATCCCAAAAGACTTGTTAATACATATATTTTTTGATCCAGTCATTACTCTTTAAAGGAATTTAGCTGAAAGAAATGATCACAAGCAAGCATACAGGTTTATCTTCAAAGTTGTAAAGAATTGAAATGGAATTAACTCTACAGAGAGAAGATGGGTATATCTATATAGGAGATGATGTGTAGTCATTATAAATAATTACAGCTGTGAATTGAACAAGACAAGAAATGACAAGGAATAGAGCTTACACTGTAGGATGCATAGAGTATATATCACATGGTTCTACTTTTGCCAAAAGTATACAAATTTTTTAAATAATTTAACATATTTCTTTTCTATATTCTCCAACACTTCTATAGAAAAATATTATTTCATAGTAATATTTTTTCTAAAGCTCCTGTATTATTAGACCCTCAGCTGTGATCATGTATAGATTATTGGAAACCTCCTTATGATGCTTTTTCTTCTATAGAACACTGAAGAAGAGGGAGGTATTATAATAATGCAGAAGTACTTTTCTACTTGCTCCTGTTAGATATGCAGTAAAACAGTCCTTACATACTTAACACACTAGAAATTTTAACAATACGACCGCTTCTGACAGAACACCTTGAACATTGTTGGACCATAAGATTTGGTGATTCAAATCCACCTGTTATTTAGTGGCCTCTGAAGAAGTTAAGGCAGTTTCCTCCCATCAAATTCACCAGGAGTTTGAACCAAACTGGGAAGCAATGAGTTTGATGTTTTGATTTTGTACCGCAAGAGAAGAAGGAGAAAGTACTTCATTTGATCAACATATGAGAATGCTTGAAATTGCTTAGACAGGAAGAGAAGATTTTTATGAGCTCTCAAAGCAATTCTTGATGTATAGCTATGTCAACACAATAAAAATCGCAAATGCTCAGCGTTGATCTCTCCAGGATCTGGATTCCAGCTTTTAAATCCTTTGAATTGAAACTATTCGTCTCCTAAGCAATCTCATCAAGGGATGAATTCCTCTACAGAAGAAAATCAGGGGATGCCTAGGTATGATATGAGGTGTCCCAGAAAAGAAGGCTGAGGAGTGCATTTCAGACACAGGAAAACTAGAAACTTTGGCATCTTCTGCAGTTCGCCCTTTCATCCAAGTTTCTCAGAAGCAGGTTCTAGCAGCCTATGAATTAAAATCGGTTTGTAAACAGTGGCAAAAACTGCTTGTGGTTGGAACCCACCCAGCAGCTTTCATAAACATCTGATCAATAGCCTAGAAAACCCTATGGAGCAGTTCTACTCTGTAACATGTAGTGTCACCAGGAGTGGGCCAACTTGACCGCACCACACCAAAAATACTCAAGTTCTACTATTTCTGTTGTGCAGGCTTTACCCAAGAAATCACCTGACCCTGGAGACCACCAAAAGGGAAGCTCCGGGGAAATGTGCCTTTATCAAAGTCCTGTGGGTCTCTAGACTGAGGTTGACCTGGTCCCTCCAAAAAAACAACTGGAACGGGGCTGGGCCACACTAGCGTTCTTGCAAAGGGGAAAGTGACTGCAGCCACCCCAAGGCGGGACTTGGCTTAAGCTCTCCACACTATAGACCAACAGTAATAATTATAGGTGAGGTTATAAGCCCGGTGCATAACCCTAAATCCATTTCCTTAGTGTGTGAACTTAGCATGACACAGCGTTTCCTACTTTAGACCCTCCCTGCACTTGGAGCGCAGGACCAGCTTCCGCGCAGGCGCAGTGCAAGCCAGTGCCTCGCCCTTAGCTATCGAGTGCCTGAAACCAAGCTATGGAGGCGCTGCAGGCAGAGGCGTGTCTTCCGAAAACGGATCCTACGGCAAGCACTGAAATAGCAACCTGTCCAGAGAGCTGACTCTCTCATCTTTTAGATGGCTTTATCATAACATCGTCTCAAAACACTACACAAAGCTTGTTGATCACTTACTTAATGGTTTTTGGTACAACATGAAAATTACAATTGCACTTTCCTTCACTTTCGCTGAAGAAAATTGGTCTTTTTGTTCCTTCTCTTCCTACACTCAGCAGCAACAAGATCACAGACTGCCCTGACCTAAGTAGTCTTTAAAACACAAAAGTATAAAATCTGTTAAATTATCTTTAACAGCCGGCAATGGAAACTGCGGAGGTTAAATAGACATAGTTTTCCGAAGTTCCTGTTCTGGTGCCATATGCTATACAAGCCTTTTAGATATGCCTCGACACATCTCTAAGGTAATGTCACTAGTCTGCAAATTCATTCTGAGAGTATTAGTTGGAATAGTTTTAGGAAGATTTCCATGCAGGTTCCTAGGGCTGGGAATTGTATGTGGATTTGGGAACAACAGGTATAAATCCGCCAATGATCAGAGACCAAGAATTCGCAAAGCCCACAGCGCGCTTTATTGCCGGAGCCCCGCCCAGGGGGCGTGGCCTCGCGATTCCTCTGGCGGGGGCGGGGCCTGCTCCTGCTGCAGCACAGCCTCCTCGCCCTCCCCCAGGCCCAAGGCGCCGCACTCCTGCACTGCACTGAGCTGCTGCGGCTTACACCGGTCTGCGCCAGCAGAGAACGAAGGTGATCCAGGTAAGTGCCAACCCTCCCCACACTTCATCTCACCTTTTTGCACTGAGCATCAGCCATCCTCTCGCCTGGTGCATATTAAAGAGGAGTTTGCGCTCTCTCAGGCTTATTAGATCTGCTTTCTGCCTTTCCTTGCACTTGCCTTCCACCTGCCCTAAGACCTCCTCTGATGGAGTGGGCTTGGAACCTCTAAGGGAGGCCTGACCTCGCTACTTGGAGCTCAGGGAGAGTCTCAAGGTCAGCCCTTTCTCTATTCCTCCCCTCCTTTCTCCTTGCCCTTTGAACAGGGCTTTCCTCTTCCTATCTCCTGGAGCCCACCTGACTTGCCCAACTGCAGTCTGGTGCAGACCGTGGGCGGGCGGGCACTGCAGGGCCTGTTGGCTGTGAGGGCCTCTTTCGTAGTACAGGCTTTTCAGATGGCCTGCTGCGGATGCGGATGTGTATTTGTTGCTAAGAACCGCCTCGAAGGGAATTGTGTTTGTTTTTCTTTGGACTGACAGGAACCTGTGGCCAATTGAATTGGAACCTTAAGTGGGTCATTTCCTATCTGTGGGGAGGGGTCTTCACGAAAGTTCCTGCTTCAGTTTTCAGAGAATTTCCCCCTTCGTCTTTAGGGAGGCCAAGGGCCACAGTGTTGGGGCAGCTACAGGGCGGTGCTAGGAACTGGCGCCTCCTTGGTTAGTCATCCTCCGTAGTTGTGGCTTTTGCTAATACTTTTTTTGGGAGTCACGCGTTTACTAGCTACACTGTCTTTGAGGAAGAAGTGTGGATAAGGAGGAAAAAGAAAAAAGCAGAGATGGATAGGAAAAAGTGGCAAAGATTGAAGCTTCAATCCCTTTAATAGGTAGGAGAAAGGAAGAATCCTGGGCCCTAACACTGCTCTGCCTTGCCTGGTTACTTCTAGGTGCTGGGGGCTTAGATCTGGCAACACGGGATTGCTGCAGGTTGGGAGCTTCCTTTGTGTGAGAGCTGGAGCAAGGGTTTCTCATGGGAAATCTGATCTGAGATCACCTGGAGCCTGCGCCTCTTGGGAAGCACCAAGGTCATTGTTACAGGCTGTCTTTTATTTCAGTGAATTAAGTAATGAGCATATTATCAGAATCGGCGATCAAGAGTGAGCATTCTCACAGGTATATTTAAAAACAACACCGAAAATCCAAACAAATACTTTCACCCCTGGAAAGAGAGACTGTTATACTTTTCCTCCTGACACAGTGTTACAGAAATAGAAAACTTTGTCAAGCAGGTTTGTTTTTCTTCTTTTGCACCTGATGTTACTATATATAAAACAGTAGCATTCTGTGGCCAGCCATAGACACTGCACTGCAGGGGCTTCCTTGGCTTGAAGAGCGCTTGGGGGGAAGGGCAGTCTAGCCCCTTATTTTAGACTTCCTCCTCCTAGAATCTCAAAGGAAGCACAGATCTCCTAACCTGATCGATCGCAGAGCAGAAACATCCATGAAAGAAGAACTTTGCCCTTATGCAGAGAAATAATGCTGCAGTGCCCATGGAGGGGACTGCAATGAGGTGAATGACAAATCAGGCAATGAGTAATTTAGGGTAGAGCAGAGTGGGGACTGATTGCTTTATGGATGCAGTTTCTTTTTGGCACAGTAACTAGATAGTAGCCATGGTTGGACAACACTGAATATTCTTAATGGCTCTGTATTGTACACATGAAAAAAGTAATTTAATATCTACCATATATGAAGCTGTATCTAAATATTATTGTTGTGTACCATAGAGTCTGAACTGACCCATAGTTTACCCTCCAGTGGGTTTTCAGAGGCAGTTAATCACAGGGGAAGAGATTGCCCATTCTTCTCCAATGGAGCAGCTGGTGTCCTACAACCACATACCTTTGGGATTGCAGCACAGCTTCTTGCCACTAGGCCTCGAAAGCTCCCTAAATATTATTCAGATAAATATTTTCTAAAAAAACACATAGCAAACACCCACTCCCATTCTCATCAGTCTCTTAGGCTGCAAATCTTTACCGTGGGAGACTTCCCAGGCTTCTTCAGAGGAGTGGCTGATATAGTCAAACTTTTCTGTTCGCACAATACATAATGCTTTACACCACCAAGGCTCCTAATTATTTTCTGTATTTATATTTAACTGTTGCGAATCTATATTCAGGATACCATTGCTGTCCCCAGAAGATCATCCACCACTTAGTGGATTTAAGAAATATTTCTTTAGAATGTATACTGTTACTGTTTGTAACTAAATGCATTAATACTTTTTATGTATACAGGGAACTCTGGTGATGCAGTCTCTAGGGAACTGCACCACTAACTCAAGGTGGCACCTCCCTGGGGGTTTGACTCTACAGGAGAAGGCTGGGCAGTCCTTTCTATGTAATTAGAAACCTGTTAGAGGATCAGCTATAAGTCAATTTGGGCTCAACACCAGTGGGAGAGAGATTTATGTGTATACCAGCCTCCCGAACAGGAAGAATTTAGCATTTATAAAGTATTTGATATGTAAATAAAATTCCTAAATTTCCTTAAGAAGCTCTGGTGGCCATTCCTTAGGATATTAGCTTCACTATCTCAATGAAGTGGCAAAAAGTATGCCACCTTCTAAATGCATTTACCGATAGCTTTTAGAATCTTAAGATACCTGTGTCTTTATTTAATTTTGTAAGTAGTTAAGTAATGTTTTATTCTCTGTCTTAAGAAGTGCAAATGATGGTGCCGCAACATCACTCTGAATACTGACAGGCATGTGAGTGTCCGACCCCTGCTTGAGGAGGAAGCCAGCAAGCTGGGTGGTTCCTCCATTCAGGATTGCTCGTGCCCTAGCAAGAATGCAGCAGCTGCTAAGAATTGACTGCAATCTGCCCACATAGCCTTGTGATGGAAAATCCAAGTGGTGTCAGTGTGACTCATTCCAGATTCTTTCCCCTCTTTTGGGAATCGTGGCTTTCCTGTACTGTGTGGTTCTAGGCTCAGTATGATGTTGGTGAAAGTACGGAAATGTGGCAGTCTTGGTTGCAGACAGAGTAGACTGCAGATTTCTTTGCTCCTTGCACTTGTGCACACCATGACCGATTGGAGGACCTAGTTCCTTCCTATAACCTCTTCTCTTGTCCTGCTGCAGTGCTTGTTAAGAAGAAATTGCTCCTTGCTGGATCTTTCTCAAGTTTTTTGGGTTGGGTTATTTTTATTATTTTTTTTTTATTTCCCAATTAGAACCATCTCAGGCTTTAATCAGTTTCAGACTTAGAGTTAATTATTAGTTCTCTGTTCTTGTTAATATGTTATATGCTCAGGAGAGGAGGTAGAGAGGTGGAAGAGTTTTAAAAGAGGTCAGAAATGGCCAGATTTGCTCTCCGGCCTCATGGAAAGGAAATATAGTTAAGATTTGAGAGCCTGGACCAAGGCACCAAGAAGCCATAGGTGTGTCTGAATCCAGATTTTGCCCTCTGATAGCTGGGGGGCCTTGGGCAAATTACTTAATCATTCTGATGCTCAGTTTCCTCTTCTGGTGAGAGATCTCTTGCTTGGTCAAGAGGAAGCAAAAGAAAAAGAGGGCTGTCAGGGAGGAAGACTGTCACAGTAGCTACAGTGATGGTCTCAGACATACCTAATGGTCAGAGGGACACAGAACCTGGCATTGTTTTGTACTGGGATACACAGGGTTGTTATGAGTTAGAATGGACTAAACAGTATCTAAAAATAATATCGTATAGAGATGCTATAAGTATTTAAATGAGTTAATATTGGTAAAACCCTTAGACAAGTGTTTGGTACATAGGGGAAATATATATATATATATAATAACAATAAGTATTGATATTTGACATCTCCAGTTAGGGACCTTTCCAAATTATTTAGGAGTAGTGATGTCAGTTTGAGGACTAAGGTGCATCTGATTCAGGTCACGGGCTTTTCAATTACTAGCTATGCATCCGAGATCTGGACAATGAATAAGGATGACAGAAAAAGAATTAATGCCTTTGAGTGGTGGTGTTGGAGAAGGGCACTGAACATCCCATGGGCAGCTAAGAGCATGAACAGACATGTCTTGGAGAGTGCAGTCAGAGTGCTCTTTGAGGCAAGAATGATGAGGCTTCACCTCACATACTTTGGACATGTTGTAGGAGAGGCTATTCCTTGGAGGAGGACATGATGTTAGGAAGGGTGAAGGGTCGGTGAAGGAGAGGAAGACCCTCAACCAAGTGGATTAATATGGTGATTGCTGCAGTTAGCGCTTGTGTGTCAAGAAGTGTGAGGATGGCAAAGGGTTCAGATCTTTTGTTCATAGGGTCACTATGAGTCATGGTCCACTCAACAGCACCTAACACCACCACTCTTCCTTTGGAAGAGTCTTCTGGTGGCCTAGTGGTACGAAGTTGCACTGCCAACCCACAGGCACATGTTGGGATCTCCTAGCTTGTGTGAGGTGAAAAGATGGACAGCTTCCTCCCATGCAATTTAAAGCCTCTAAAAACCTGCCGAGGATCAGCTCTGAGTCAGTTCTGACGTGGTGGAACGCACCACCACCACCACCACCACCACCACTCTTTCTTTAGTCTGTCTCAGTGTTCTTCACACTGGTCCTCCCTTCTCTGTCCTCTACAAGTTGAGCTCTTTCTTGCCTCCAGGCCTCTGTTCTTGCTCTTATGCTGTTATCTCTGCCTGTGTTCTTTACTTTCTTACATCATTAGGTGTCCTTCATAGCACTTATCCCAATCTCCTCCTGTGTGATTAAACTACTTCCAAAAAACTGCTGGAGGGTCAGCTCTAACTCAACGATATACAAGTCCACCACTTCCTAATAAAGCCTATAAGCATGAGTATTGCCTGTGAGTTCTTTGTGGCCATGGCAACGTATTAACAAACCTAACAGATTTAGAGAGTGCTGTAGACATTCCTCTCCTGTTTTAAAGTCATACTTTGATGTTCTCTCCCTCCACCTGACTATATTCTTGAAAGAATGTACTTGCTTCTATGCCTTCATCACTATTGTAGCCCTGTACCATGCATTTAGTATGG